GCTAAAAATTAGCGTTGGTTTTTTTTTTGATTTATTTTTTTTTTTTGTCGAAGGTGTTGCGAATTTTCTTCCATACATGTAACACATCAACAAAATCTATTTTTATGTATGTAAGAAAATGCACCATAGCCTCGACAAAAAATAAATCTAAAAAATCAACGGTAACTTTTAGCTACTGAATATTCGAAAACTTACTAAAGTTTTTTTTAAGTTTGATTAATTTTTGTGAATTTTATACAAAGTTTGAAAGATTGATTTATATGGTTTTTGCTATAGAATGAGCAATGTTTTAAATAAAAATGATGGAAAATGTTTTGAATATTGCGAAAAAAACTAAATCACCAATACTTCTGTGAGTGACTGTGTGTATACATACATATATACACATCCATATTAAAAAAAATAAAATAAATAAATAAACGCACACGAAAATGTACATATAACAAAGAAAACTAAATATGCACGTGCGTGTATGAGGCTGAGTAGAGAGACTCTGCTTGTACAAAAATAAAAGCAAGTCGTTGGCTCGTCGCTGTTTCTACAGAACAAGAAAATTATTAATGCATTTGTATAAATGTGGGCAAAAGATAAACGCTTACAAATCTTATGTTATATTTGCTCGTCGCAGATAAAAATTTAGCGTCATAACGAACGGGAGGTGTAGGTGGTGAATGAGCGTGTAGCTAAAAAGCACAGCGAAATTCAGTTTTCTCATTGCCATTTCATAGATACACTACGAAATATGTATGACGAATTGGCCCCATTGAACACACGTTAAATGTCCAATCATACACACACACAGCTATAAAAGTATTACACACAAATTCAACCACAATTGTGAATACAAACGATTTTTAGAGCAAACATGGATGTATACACATATGTATGTACATTAGGGTGGCCCCTAGTTATAGGGAGAAAAATAAAAGTGTTTAGATTCTCACCCCAAATAAATGTGTGAATAGCCTAAAGGCTAAATTATGCAAAATTTAAGATCATTCAAAATAGATTTAGAGGTGGTTCAAAGCGCTGAAAGTTTCCCATGTATTTTACTTAATGGAAAAAAAAACTATTTTTCGTAGAAATGGTATAGAATCCTTGAATATCAATATTTTTCAAACGGCAAACTCAGTTTCTCTTCAGGCGAATATTAATATTAACGATTTTTCGAAATCAGGGCCACCCTACATTGTAGACACATACATACATATGTATGTAGGTATAAATTACCATTCAAGCATTCACTTGATTCAGCTCTAATACTTTTATTTAAAACATATGTATGTATGTAGTAAATAACGGCATAATAAAAAGTTGACTGATCGTCCGTCCAGCCAAGCAACCGTCAATTGACTAGGAGAATATCTGATATAAAACCGGGATTATGATTGTGGGTACATGAAATTATGCGAAAACAGATTCAACATCAACACCCAACGTAAAAACAAAGAGCGGCGACATTTTAGGTACAAAATGAGCGAATTTAATTAAAGTGTAAACGAAGTAACGAGCAGTGTTGCCACGGACAAATTTTTTTCCCTACCAAAATGTACTAACAAAACCGACCAAAACCTACCAAAAATTTGTTTTGCCTAAAAACATCTAGTAACGAGCAGTCTTGCCACGGGCAAATTTTTTTCCCTACCAAAATGTACTAACAAAACCGACCAAAACCTACCAAAAATTTGTTTTGCCTAAAAACATCTTTTGTGTTATACCCTAATTGTAATCATTCCAACCTGAGGATATTTAAGAAGTTAAGCATTTTGGAAGGTGTCAAATTTTGGATGGAGCAGGCAATCGTTCCTCAAGATGTATTAGTCTGCTGTTGATGATACGAGGGGTTTCCTTCACCATCCCAATTCAAATGGCACCTAAACTCTTGCAGAGTCTTTTCAGGGAACCAGTAAGAGTTCTAAGATCCTCCCGGCTAAGTTAAAGTGATTTTCGGATCTCCTCTTGGAAGGAGTTATGGATCTCTTTGATTGTCTTATTTCCTTTGATATTCCCTAGTAGGCCGCAATCTGAGATGCTTTCCAGCTTCTAAGTAGCTCTGCAGTGTATCCTTTAGATGCACCTCAAACAGGCTCGGAAACATTCATGGGCATTTGGGCTCAACCCTTTGCGAGACAGTCAGATCTTTCGTTGCTTTCATGTCCCGGAACCCACCAGAGCCGCTATGTAGGCTCCCAGGTGCTTCAAAACAGTTTTTCACCTGCTAACATGCCTTGGTGCCATTTGAAAAGAGTGTAGGACCTTTAACGCTGTCTAACTATTCGACATAATATTCATTCTGTTCCCATTTGTCCTTCTATGAAGACATTCGCGAACACATATTTCGAATTCGAGGACTTCCTCCTGGAATATGGTATGTGCCCGTCGGTATACCATACTTCGGACTCTTGGTCAATCATAGTATTATCGCTTCCCAGTAGTCCCTTTCAAGATTCAGACCTTATAGGGTTTGTAAAGGTTCGGCAGCATAATGTCCGTGAACTTGATAGCGGTATCATCCAGGAATGGCTTGAAATCCTCTAAATGACCCCGAAAAACTCCAAATTTCTTGCTGATAATATTAGGCAGCCATGGGCTCACCAGGCCAGTGCCGCGTATTTAACAACGGGTTTTACTAACGCACGGTACAATTTTGTAGTTGAGTTCAATTTAAATTAACTTGTAAGTACATAAAGTATTTCCGGATGTTCATAATGTATACTGGCAATAACATAGGTATACGTTTGGACATACGAATTAGATATATTTATATGTTTTGGTCACTCTTATACGAATGCACCGGTGAAATATTCGTGTAAACAAGTTTGCTAAAACCTACCAAAATGCAATCTAGCCTACCAAACTACCAAATGTAAAAAAACCTACCAGTTTTGGTAGGAAAAGCCCATGTGTGGCAACACTGGTAACGAGCCCACTCCAAAGGGGCTTCGAGTGCCACCGAACAAGGGTTGCCAACTCTTAATACTTGAAGTTTAAAAAAAAATGTTAAGGGTACGCCAGGCAGCTAAAGTCGCTTATGTAGTGAGTGAACTCCGGTAAGGACATTCGATGGGTAATATTCTCTCTCTGAATATCGTTAACTACCTGTCTGTATTGCGTCAGGCCCAGTAGGTGTAGTCGCTGTTAAATTGCTGTCTGAAGTGGCTGGGAGTTTATTCTGTGTCTACTAAATGTCCGTTCGACTGGTCAAGACGGCAGCTGTCCAACAGACACTACATGTTTGAACAGGGTGTTGAGTGTCCACATTATATCGTACCCCGTTGAATAGAGGATCTCCGTACTTTTATTGATCCATACATTTTTTAATGCACGGAAGTAGTATAAATTTATCCGACATTGATACAAAATGATATACAGAGGCGGAAAAGTAAATAGGAACACGATATTTTAAAATTTATTTCCCTATTTTTCTTTTAGTTTATTTAATATTATTTTTTTTTATAAAAGTATAGCTTCTTATCTAACAAAAACCATATTAATTTACATTTAAATGTTTGTGCAAAATTTTAACTAAATTTGAGCTAAATTTTCAATTTTTTAATCCGATTTTTTAGAATTTTCAACTTTTTGGAGTATGCAGTTTTATAGCCCATTAAATTTTAGTATCATAAACTACAAGTGTGAAGTTCCAACAAATCGCATTGATTTTTGATACATTTTTCTGAATGTAGACATAATTTTTGCACAAAGTTTGAAATATGAATTTATATGGTTTTTGCTAGCCGATGAGCTATACTTTTATAATAAATAATAAATATTAAATAAACAAATGAAAAAAAAGTAAGATTTGTTAAAACTTTTTCCACCATTGTAAGCTCATAGCGATTTTTTCGTGGAAACAGGTTTCAAAAATGCATATATGTATGTCATGTTTAAAAATAGGGACACCACATTTTGACCAGTTTTAACTATTTTGCTTACGTTTATTTATTTATATAATACTTGACACTATATAAATCCACATGTCAAACTTTGTAGAAAAATTAAAAAAAAATCACATCTAACTTTTTATTCGTAATTTTTAAAAAACTTCCAGGTATCTATGCTGAATTCTGATAACTTTTTTGCCGAAGGTGTTATTATTTTCATCCATAAAAAAAAACAAATTGTCGAAGATACTAACTTTGTTTGGAAAACATTCGTAAGTATCGCCGTCAGCAAACAAACATTTTCAGAATTCAACGATATTTTGTAGACAGTTTAACCTCGAAAATTGTCGTGCGTTTTTTTAATTTTTGTACAAAGTTAGAAATTTGGATTTACATGGCTTTTGTTAGACATATAATTTTGTCTCGTGGTGTAAAACAAACACACATATAAGTCGGAATTCGTTTACTGTTTAATAATAATATAATAGATTGGCGCTTACACATATGTTAGCGTTTGGCCGAGCTTCTCCTCCAACTTGTGGCGAGCGCCTTGATATTGTCACACAAAGCGGAGGGACCTTCAGTTTTACGCCGACATCGAACGGCGATTGTATTTTTATGAGAAGCTGTTTTTCATGGCAGAAATACACTCTGAGGTTTGCCATTGCTTGCCGAGGGACGACCGCTGTTAAGAAAAACCTTTTTCCTAATTGTGTGCGATGTTGCTTTGACCAGGGCTTGAACCCAGGTGCTGGTGAGTGAAAGCGCGCACTGCTTACTGTTTCATAAAATACTTTACTGTCATTTTTTTTTTACCTCAATACTGGGAATCTGAGTTTTTCGCAGTAATGTATGTACTTACATTTTATTGTCCGAAAAAATATACGAGATACTTAGGGTTTACACTGGACAATATTGTCGTGACAATAATGTCAAAATGATGTGTTTGTTGTAAACACGGCGAATTCATATTACAACAAGCACATCATTTTGACATTATTGACATGACAGTATTGTCTGGTGTAAACCCTAAGTAACTTTCCTTTTTTGTCAAGAATTACCCTGAGGTATACATACGTACAGTATGTATAAGCCACTTCTTGTATATAAATAATTTCAGGCATTTTAGCAACCCTATGCATGCGAACCTGCCGCTAAACCAGTTGACCGCACGCCTGACTGGCTCGCTCAGACACAAAACGCGCATGGAGGGGGAGGGGTTGTTCTAAGAAAGTTTCCATTTCGCTACTTGTGTAAGTGCTTTTTTCCTTCAGGTACTTGCAACACTATGTTGTTGTGCGGCATTTGTGACGCGTCAGATTATACATATTACAACAAACAAATGTCTACAAATAATCATACATACATATGTATGAATAATACAACACATTGGTGAACTTAAGAGAGCAATAATGTGTGGTGGTGTTGTATGCGAAGCGAGTACGAGAGTCAATGCAGTGAGTTATGGTGACTTTCAGTATCAATTAAATATACATATTTCAAATTTCTAATTTAATTTTAATGCAGATATCTGGCAATAAAGTGTGGATATTTCATAAAGCGTTTTTGAATTAAAGGAACAAAAGAAAAAAAAACAAGGGGAAAGTCAAGTTACAGCTGTAGGGGCAAACAAAAATTACAATTCACTTTACAGAAAATGCTTCGTGCAAACATACAGACAAGCATACACATTGAGTAATCAGTCAATAAATGACTCCGTATGCACTAGGGATGTTAATTTTTGTACTTTTTACGATCCCGGAATTTTCAAAATGTGGTTATCACAATCGCGGGATCCCGAGATTGGTCCCGGGATTTAGATATTCATTACTTTTTAACCAATTAAATAAGAAAAATTGCTTCTATCTCTCCTACCATAAAATAAATAACAAATAAATGGGTTGGAAACCCACTTTTTTATTTAAGGGGGCGTTTTTATTTTTTCTCTCTGACGTCAGGATTTATTTTAAAGGACTTTGTGATTCCAAAGATATAATCAATTCCAAAAATTAGTTCAAAAATTCAATGCTATGCAGAATAAAATTATAGGTGCCAAATGAATGAGGAAATTTCCTTAGAATTTAAGAAATATTAAAATTTTTTGGATTCACAAGGACGAATAGGTAATTTTTTAAGCTGATAAAGTTAGAAGGACGAAATTCGAGAATGTTATCGAGTTTATATAAGTCCTTAACATATACATTTTCCAAAAGCAGATATTGCGAAATTTCAAGGATAAAATTTTAAAAGGATAATTTCAATACTTACTAGTCCGTATGTAACAAAAAATTGAATCTGATTAAATTTCACAGAGTTTCCTCTTTAATTGGATACGCATACTTCTTCGCTAAGCACATTTCACTGAATTTTTTTAAATCATTTTTCGGATTACTGACGTCAAAGTGAAAAACTAAAAATGCAATTTTACTATATTTGGCCATGGTTTCGCAAATATATTGATTTTTGTGTGTACAATTTACTATCGCACGGTGTTATGTGGATAATGAGCTAGACAGTTATAAAAAAATATTAATTATTAAATAAAAAAACAAAATAAATATAGCCAATACTGGTCAAGAAAATTAAGTTTCTATGATTGCCATCAGTGCAAATTACAATTCCTGAAAATCCCGGGATTATTTGCCAAGAATCTCGGAATTTTTGGGACCTAAAAATGGCAGAGATCCCGAAATCTCGGGATTAACATTCCTAGTATGCACATGTCGTTAACTTATGTAATATAAAAAGGCCCTAACTCATTTTCGCCAAACATCCAGTTTTGTACGAAAGTCGGTAGATTACTCATTAAAATCATATTAGAACCTAAAAATAACTGCTGCAGCATAAAATTAGTTACCAGTCTTCAATAAATGTAGAGTTTGAAAGGTGTGTATAGCTAAAGAACTTGATTTTCAATTGAGTTTTTTTTATCACTTGTATAGAAACAAAACTTGTTATATATGGCCTTTCTATGTTAAGGCAACGATAAACTAAATTGACACGCATCAGAAAACGTTTCCAATACAAAACTGCGGGATATCCAGGGTGGGTGGTGTAGATGGCAAGTGTGCGAGTCTAACAAAGCAAGAAGGTGATTTTTGGCATGTTTTTTATTTGTACTATTTTGAATGTAAACAGTATTTATAATGAAAGCATATTAAGCTTTGCATAACAGTTAGGTGTTTCACAAGACGTGTTAACCATCGTAAAATCTTAAGCTTAAAATTTGTTTATGTAAAATAATGGTTAAAATGGTTTTAGGAGGGACTACATAATTACACATATATTTTGCAGCAGTTTAAAAACATTTCGCTGTAGTTAGAAATCCCCTAAAGTCATTTTAATCATTATTTTACATAAAAAATTGTTAAGCTGAAGATTTTACGACGTCTTGTGAATCCCCTAAATATATTTCGGTGGTCATAAGCAATAACCGCCTAAGTCAACTTAAGAAAGAATTGATATAGATATATGTTATCGTATTCTGCAACTAAATTACTATTCCACGGGTATGTGCAATCCCCATCTCGCCCGCTTAGGCTATTTAAAAATTTATAGACGAACGTATTCGAATTCGGGTTTTTCGACTTACGACGGTTATTGCTTATGACCACAGATTTATACGTTATCACATGTACATATGTACATATGTACATACATGCTTAGCGTAACGTAATTTAAATGGAAGCCAAACTGTGCCTAAAATCTTTTTTGTTGTGAGTGAACCAAGAAAATAGAAATGCAGCAATGTTTACAAGCAAGCAAGCAACGATTTCGAAGCTGAAAACGAAAAAATAATAAAACAAATATGTAAAAAGAAACAGAGTGAAAAACTAAAAATAAACCACAAGTGCAACACATGGATTCATCAAAGAAAATACAGAGCGAGAGAGAGAGAGAGAGAGAGCTACACATATTTTGAAGCGGTTAAGAGAGTCAGAGATCAAATGCCGAAAGCAATGAATTGCGGTTTAATGCAATAATGTAGTTGAAATAAACAAATTTATTAACGCTGCAGGTAAATTACAATTTTTGAAAGTTTTTACGCTTAAAATTTTATTTCAACTTTATAAGTACATACATATGTACACTTGTTTGAATGTACAGTTGTCCTCAAGTAATTAAGCCAGCGACATATTGACCAGTTTTGGCTGTTCTTCATTTGTTTATTTGATGTTTGTTAACTTTTTATATGTAAATATCTAGCTCATATGCATATGTACAACAAAACCATATATGTACATATGTACATACATAAAAAAATTATAAAAATTGCACGGTTCAACAAAATTTGGTCGTATTTTATCTCACACACGGAACTGAACTGATTGATTTTTTATGCTGATTTTAAGTGCATTTACTAATTTTTTTTAGTACGTCCAGTTTTTGAGAGAAAACAGCTGCGGCCAATAAGAGAGTAGCAAAAATCAACTTAGGTTTATTTGTCTATAAAAATAGTTCGATCCATGATACAATAAACAACTTTTTGATTAAAAATCAGATTTTTCACAATCGCTCAAATGTGAAAATTTCGAAGCGGCGTTCATAAATATTATAAATATAAAAGTTGTATTAACCTCTACCTTTTAAAAATAATTAATATCATATCTTCAAAATGTTTAAATTTCACATTAAATTCGATAACCACTCGCCAAAATCATTATTTTTAGTTCGATAAAATTTTAGTGAACATATTTGAAAATTTTTTTAGTATCCTTATGTCACCTGATTATTTCACAATATGTATAGCTAGCCAGGCTATAACGATGATACGATTGTTTCTGATATATTTCAGACACTGAAATTACATACATATTTCGAGTTTGTCCTTTTAACTGCATATCTTTCAAGTAACTTGAAGGTGGAAACTACTTTGGGACCCGTGGGCCTCATGACTTTCAGAGAAGTCAATATTTTCCATTTTACGTATACATACTTTGACAATACCGTTATTTCTTTGGGTAAAAATATATATTTTTTACTGTTCAATATTGGTGGGGGTGTGAAATAAAATTGATGATTTATTGTTAGTATGCAAACCTAGAACTACAATTATCAACTTATTGAGTACTAGTTCTGGACTTGGGGTGTGGAGCGGATGCGGAGGGGGAGTGGCACATAAAACAGCACCCATTAGAAAGAGAATAGCCAAACTTTAAGAAAAATCGACCTTTCCTTCTCCGACCCCTCTGCAGACCCCTAGGGATCCATTGGAAAATAGGATAAAATTAGCATTTTTACAGAGAAAATGTAGACTCGGGTTACGCCAGCCACAGCGTGGCTGCGAGGTAAGCCTTCGGCCGCGCTTAGAAAAAATTACCCTCGTCAGTCCAACTCCGGCTACGCTGACCCCAGTATCTTTTACAAATAAGTCCATATTTAAAACCGAATTTATTAATAAATTTTTATTATTAAACTTTAAAAAAAAATCATCAAAATTTCAAACTTTTTTCAGAATTTTTAGAAAACTTTCGAATATGCCGTTTTGTAGTCAATTCAATTCAAGTTTAGTATGATATATAAAGTTCAAGTTTGAAATCACTAAAAATTACCGCTATTTTTTATTTTGACGACGATGAATACGTCTTACGTTTCGATATGGAGGCTATGCTCAAATGTTGTAGTTGTAATTTTTAGAGCTTCACGAAAACGCTTATACCACGAGAACTAAAGAAGCGATTTCAAAGAAGAGTGTGGCGTTTCAAAGACAAAATTCCAAACCTATCAACCGATTCATTTTTGTAAGTAAACAATTCGGTTTCTGTCGTACAAACAACGGTAAATATTTGCTTATTTTGGGGTCAATTTTAAGCCTTTAAAGTGATCTAGCAACTTATGATTTGCAGATATAACTTTCATTTACGGCTTATAGGTTCTTTGGAGCAATAGAACTATTTATAACTATAAATTCAACAAATATTGAGCACTTTAAGGCAACAAATTTTTGAAAAAATTAGCAATTTTTTTATTACCAAAACGTTCGAAAACCGCTCGAATGATTTTGTTTTTGTTTTCTTTAATCAAAAATTCGAGATGGTTCCTTTCATTTGGTATATAGGAAGTATTGGTTGATATCTTCTAAGTATGTATGTTTATTTGATTCAAATATATGGGCATAAATGATTTTCCACACAAAATCACTTCGTCATCGTTTTGCAAACACATGCATGCGCTGGAAGTGAGAGAAGGAGACAAAAAGTATGTGTGTCTATGTATGTATTTCGGCTTTTGAGTAACAGATTGCGCAATATTTATAAAAGGCAAAGGTGTAGGGGAATATGTAGATGAAGATTATGATAAACATAAAAGCAAAAACAAAGATAAATATAAAGAAATATATGAGGATGAAGATACCAATAAAAGTAAAGATGAAGATAGATTAAAATAAAGGTAATTTTAGAGAAAAGGATATAGACAGAGACTCAATTTGGGGACTATTTCGGGATTTTAGTGATTTTAGGAATTCTCGGGACTTAACCATATAAAAATCGACATTTTATCGGTTTTGTTATTAATATTTTTTATAGATTATGTTATCGAAATTTTTTATCGATATAGTTATTGATTTTGCTATCGATATTTTCGGAAGTTATCGATAAAATAAACGATATTTTTTATCAATTTTGTTACCGATATTTTAATCGATTTTGTAATCGATTTTTTATAGATTTTGTTATCGATATTTTTATCGATTTTATTATCGATATTATTACCGGTATTTTTATCGGTGTTGCTATCGATATTATCGATTTTGTTATCAATATTTTTATCGATGTAGCTATCAATATTTTTATCGCTTTTGTTATCGATATTTTTTTCTTAGGGTGTGCTTTCGTTTTTGACTTTTTTTAAAATT